AAAAAATCATAAATTTCAAGAAAAGGGTAAGGTGGAGTTGGTGGAGTTGGTGGAGCAAACTCAAAGGTAATTTCCATCTCCAACAATTTCCCTCAATTTATTTAAGACTATAAGATAAAATCATAGGAGTAATCAATATACTTTTCAAACCACCAAACCCTAATTTATAAGATTTATATTCATATTAAATTTTTTAATATTGAGTAATTTTTCTTCAAATAAATCAGTTCATAACAAGAATCTCAAAAATACTTACCAACTCTCACAAGCTCATATATTTGAATTAAAGAGGATAGATGATGAAAATATAAATATAAAAAATGTAGGATTTTTCTAAAAAATAATAATATTTTGAGTATTTCTCAATCAATACCCCTATTTTATTTTATTTATTTTCAAGCAGTATCCTTAATTTAAGAATACTCAAATTACTCCTAAAATACTATTTTGACCTATTATAATATTTTAATCATCATAATAAAAATACTATAAATGATATAGATGGACTCCTAATCTAAACCAAAATAACTACAAGCCTAAAAATAGGGTATCATAATAGTTGATGAGCAATGATAACCAAAGAGGTACAGTATGATATCATTGTTTCCAATACTTCAATAAAATACTATAAATGCTGCTGAAAAATACTATAAATGAGCTAAATAAAAATACTTTAACAGTTTTGAAAAAATGAGCAAAAAATTTGATAGAAATTTTTTTTAGGAGTATTTTGTATATTTTTTAATTAGAGTTACTGTTTAAGAAAACAAAATAGAGATATATTTTAGAGGAATATTTTCTTGGAAAATGACTTCATATATTTCATAACTTAGAAAGAAAGAAAGAAAATATATTTCACATCTAAGTGATTGACGCAACAATTGTGCTGATGAATTGCAATAGATGTTGTCATATATATATATATATATATATATATATATATATATATATATATATATATATATATATATATATATTCCACCATAGTAGTGTTATCTTCTCATCGTTTCTGTAGGCTCGTATGATTACCTTGCATCGCCATCATCATCTCCTTCTTCTTCACCTTTTACATATCGTCATCTTCAACGTAAGCTTGATCATCATGTCAAATTGTATTCCACATCCGGATCGACTTCCTCGACGACGAAAGGCGAACGGATCCCTCAACACGCCCACATTTTCCTGATATCGAACGTATATCAGCGGTGGCGAGGATGACTCCTGCGCCCAACCCACGTCACTGTTGATAGCTCTCTTCCACTCACGGCCACCCCCTTTTGTAGCCTTGTGACTTGTCACTGTGTCCAAGCTCGCTAGTGACAACCACTAATCCACAGCTTCCTTCCCGTTTCAGCATGATCGTCATTTGTGATCACCACCCTCGTCTCGTTGGCATATGTTCTTGCACGACAAAGGATACTAACCCTTGACCTACCGACGGTTTGCTTGATGGATTTGTACTAATTCATGTTGCTTATGATAAGATAATCCACTTCATAAGTTGCCTCGACTAGCCGCTCTCTTTGGCAAGACAATATATATATAATGTAGAGAATAAACACACTCCATCGTACGAGCCAATGAGGATCCGATACATGGACCATTTCGATGCCCCATGGTTGAATACAAGAATTGTATATAACGAGTTATGTCTTATTCGGTATCTAATTAATGTATATGTTAATGCCAAACATAACACATTAGTACGAGAGAAATCGTTTAAATACTATTTCATAGAATAAAAATGATAGTCATAAAGTTTACATAAAGTAAAAGTTTGATTAATTTTTTTTCTATCATTTCGGAAACATTATTTCGTGGAAAAAAAAATTAATAGTCATAAAATAATTTTTTATATGAATTTTTTGTCACCAAAATATTTTGAAAACACAAGACATCAAACAACATTGGTATCGACTCACAAAATGTCAACAACAACTGTTCTTAGTCGTGTACAGCGGTGTTGTGTGTCGGAAGCAACCAACTGATCCGGCCAACACGTGCAAATTTTACCCGCGCACCACGTTGCCATCTCGACCCGGTCATCGACCTCCCACCACCTTAACTTCGTACGGCCAACCAATGACGCATCGAAGAATAACACGTATGACACACGCGCACATCTTAGTCGAGCAAATCATGGGAAGCCACGTAATGCGAACTCACGGTATGTATGTGTGTGTGCGCAATGAACCACTTGCGCAAGCTAACAAAAGCTTAGCTTCGTCGATGGAGACTGACCCACTCGCTGGCCCAACCCGAACATAACACCTGTCCACGCCGCACCTAATTCCTCAAGCTGTAGTGTGTGGGGCTCAAATTCTGACCGCGGAAAGCAAGCGATCCACGTCATCAAACAGTCGCCATGAGTAAACTAATCGATGATGGTGTAGATAAAGATGAACGACGAGGTCCGGTTCGCCGTCCACATCAGCAATCACTAAGTTCGACACGTGTCCCGGTGACAATCGTTTAGCCGTGTATTTTTCGGATAGAGATAGATTCGTCTTTGGCTCATGTCGATAAATGGTAGATTCGTCTGCGTGTATTGTTGATTTCAAACCCTTCTAAATCGTTAGGCTATTCTTTGGTCTTTATGTATTCACGTTATATTTGCAACGATCAGCATATATTGGGCAGCGGCAGTATTTAGTGGCGGATTTGGATCGGATGCTGTTGAACGCACATGTGCAGAATCTTGTGCGAGTAGTTCAACTCGGTAAATATACTGTAGATTACGTCCACTAAACGACAAAATTACTCAGCCATAAAAGCCGCCCCCACCCTCTGCTGCCCAAAAATTCCATTCCCCTTCTCCTCTCTCTCTCTCTCTCTCTCTCTCTTTCTCTGCGCCAAAGCAGCAACTCGGGATCGCCATGTCGAATCCTGCGTCGCTGCCGCCGGGGTTTCGTTTCCACCCCACCGACGAGGAGCTCATCCTTCACTACCTCCGCAACAGGGCGTCGGCGTCCCCATGCCCGGTGCCCATCATCGCCGAGGTCGACATCTACAAGTACGATCCATGGGACCTCCCCGGTCAGTACTCCCCCATCCCCCTCCAGCCTTCTTCTGCTTCGTCTTCTCCTGTGTCGCAGCAGCGTCAACGAAACCCCACCTCACTGTTCCTGCAGCCAAAGCGGCGTACGGGGATCGCGAGTGGTACTTCTTCAGCCCCAGGGATCGCAAGTACCCTAACGGGTTCCGTCCGAACCGCGCCGCCGCGTCCGGGTACTGGAAGGCGACCGGCACCGATAAGCCGATCCACGCGACCCACGGGAACGAGAGCGTCGGAGTCAAGAAGGCGTTGGTGTTCTACAGAGGCAGGCCTCCCAAGGGAGTGAAGACGAACTGGATCATGCACGAGTACCGCCTGGCCGAAGCCCACGCCAGCAACAGCTACAGACCAGTGAAGCCGAGTGATTCCTCCATGAGGGTACATCACACCGCTGACCCACCTCCTCCTCTTCCTCGTGACCTTCTCCTGTTCGAAACAATGCCTCTTCCAAGTCCTGGGGAAAAGGACTTCTCTTAGGTTACTTCTCTACCCTTCTTTTCGCTCTGTAATGATCCTTTTGTTGCTGTTCCGATCGCAGTTGGATGACTGGGTGCTGTGCCGCATCTACAAGAAGAACAACCATCTGCAGTCGGTGCCTCCGCCGATGGATCAAGCGCAGATAGGCTCGGCTTCGAGCTCCAAGAACTCGGACCAGCAAAGCAGTCTCAGGCCGCAGCCGTCGTCTTCCATATCTGACATCATCCTCGAGAACTACTCTGTGCTCTCACACCTGTTCGGCGACCTACCGGAGAACAGCCCTCTCATGGCCCAACAGCACTTACCTTGTAGCAGCAGCAGGATCGATGGCAACAGCAGCTTACTCCAACAACAAACACAGATGGATCCGATGGGGGATGGCTCCGGGAAGCGGCCGCGGACGATGGAATGCTACTTTGACGACAGCAACCGGCTCTTACATCCTCCAAAGAAGCAGAACTGCTCGAACATGTTCGCCAACTTCTCCGAGCAGTTCGACAGCAGCTTGCTGGAGCAGCACCTCTTCAACCAGCAGCTGCTCCTCAACTCCCACCTGGGATTGCACTGAGCGATAACATAACATCTTTCTCCGAGAAGAGATCAGAATCATTGTTGTTGTCGGAGACAGCACACAAAATTCTTTGAGATGGGAGCAGCGGGCTTGTAGATGTGGTGTGGCGTGAGGCTTGTTCTTAGCTTAGTCTTTTAGTTCACCTATAGAGAGAGAGAGAGAGAGAGGGGAGATGGAATCGGTTCACACGTACCAAAGATGTTGTAGTTTTCTGCATGATGTCATCGCTTACACACAACCAACATCATCTTTGACCCCCCGAATTGAGGTTTAGTAGCTTAATTAACTATGTTAAGATCTCCAAACATGTAATTAATAGTTTGGAAGTGTCTTAGCAAAGAACATATGTTTGTTGTTGACCTCGGCGAGGGCGATGATATTTAACTTTGAGTATGTAGTTTCCTCCAAGGAAGCAATAGTCCTCCATTGGTTTGTGTTGAACTCTTGCCAACATCTCAAGCTGCCATCCTTTGACGACGTTGAAAAGTAATGCTTCGATCACTTCGAATTAAAAAAGTGACGATGATTGCAGTTGATGTGCGGAACTAAACAAAGATATCATTCCAGCATGATGAATTATTCCAAATCAAAATTAATATTCATAAAATATCTTTTAAGATGTAAAGGAAATTTCGATGTTATTTTGACTCAAATATGGAAGGAGGATCTCACTAGGCTTTCATATATTTAAGTTCATTCTAGGATCCACCTTGAATGATCTTAAATTTAAGTTCATTTTATTGACTCACAGAGCTTCAAGGAGAAGAGGAAAGGAATGATATAAAAGACTAGAAGTACTTTGAATCAGTGCTTTGGATTGATTTAAGAGTACCTATTTATATTAGTTAAAAGTAGAGTATAAGGTTTTTTAAACAATAAAAAATCTATCATATCCCAATACATCTTTTTACCTTCATCTATTTATTTTACTCTTTTATTTTATATAATCCTAACTATTTGAATTAATTTTATCACACCCTATTAATTCAAAATAGTTATAACTTGAAGTTGTCTTTCGAAAAAATAATTTTTTTTCCAAAGTTTTTGTGAAGATATTAGCAAGTTAATATTTGGTGCTATAGTAGTTCATTTGAAATTTCTTTTTATCAATCAATTCGCGAATGAAATAATATCGAACTTCAATATGTTTGGTGTACCCGTGGAAGACATGATTATTCATCATTGCAATAGTAGACTTGTTGTCACAGTAGATTTTAATTGGTCAATTTTATTTTTCTCAAAGATATGCTAAAAGTCTTCGAAGTCAAACTGTTTGATATATTGTGCTTATAGCTGCAACATACTTCGTCTTAGAGCTTCAAAGAGCAATATATTATTATTGTTTTATTGTTTATGAAATCACACCTAAGCCAAGGCTTAGCACAAATCCCGAAGGCTTAGCACATTTTATTGCTTTACATAAGTCTCCTCTTGTAATTTTTCATTCAAGAATGCTGATTTAACATCAGATTGATAAACCTATCATTTATTTTTGTTTCCAGTCCTAATATTGTTCTAATTATCCTAATTCTAGCAATTGAAAAAAAAGTTCAAAAAAAAATCGATACCTGAAATTCGAGTATACTATTTTGCAACTAAACAAGCATTAAATTTTGACTTGTATACCCATTTGAGTCCAATTATTTTTTTTCCTATGGGCAAATATATTAATTCTCAAGTCTCATTCATTGCTTGTACTCATTCTTCTTTGTAAGTTGTAGCTTAAAAACAAGTAAGTTCCAAAGCATAACATACAAAATTATCACACTAATAATCTCTAAAAGACTATGAAATTTTCATGGAGATGTTTTAGTATCACTAAAATCACTTGAATCATTCAAATATGAGAAGAATCGAGTAAGCTAACAATAGGCAATGTATCATATGCTTTATCAACTTCTTCTCCTACAACTATTGGAGTTTTAACTGCTTTAGAGTTTCAAACTTCTTCTTCATTAAAATTAACATCATGATTTATAATTAATTTCTTAGTAGTAGAATCATAATGTCTAAAACTTTTTGTCCCATTACTATACTCACAAATATGCGTATAACACTTTTATCATTAAGTTTGCTTCTTTCTCAATAGGAATATGAAACTAAACAACACAACCAAATACTTTTCAATGACTTACTTCTAGCTTTATGTTTAACTATACTTCATAAGATGTTTTTTCTTATATTGCTTTGGTAGGAAAGTGATTTAGCAAATATACTGATGTACTCATAGCTTCTGCCGGAAACTCAACTCTTTTGATACTATTTTCTCTTTAAGCATGTATCTGGCAATCTTAACCACTTCTCGATTCTTTGCTACACTTTTCCATTTTGTTGGGGGGTATAACTTGTAACTTGTTCGCTATGAATGTTTGCATTCTTGCAAAAATAAAAAAAAAACTTTTGAAGTGAATTCACTCTCTTTAACAGTACGCAGTACACAAAGTTTTAATAAAATAATTATTTTGTTTTTCACATATACTTTGAAATTTTTGAAAACATAAAAGGTTTCAACTTTTTTCTTGTAGAAAATATACCCACACCATCCTTGTGCAATCATCTATAAATAACAAAAAATATCTATTTTTACATGTGAGACAATCTATATAGGCTCACAAATATCTACATTTTTAGCTCTTCAAAAATGACCTGAAAAGAATTTTTATGTTGTTTTCGAAAAATATAGGATTTACAAACAGTATCTTTATTTTTAATCTTAGGCAAACCAACTACTATATTTTTCCATAGTTGCTATCAATTTATCAATTTTCTTATCATAAATTAAGTATTTTTCATCATAAAAATAACATAATATTCTTTTCTCATCAGTTGACTAATGAGATTTTATTTTAAACTAAGAATACACATCATATCATCAATTAATTTTTTTTACTAGATTTGATGTTCATAGAAATTGTTCCTTGTCCTTCCACTTGAACCTTATTGTCATTTTTTATTTATATTATAGATATGATTAAATCATTAAATCTTTAAAATAAACTCACGTCCCCTATCATATGATTACTGTATCCATTATCCAAAAATCAAATAGATCAAGAATATTATTCATTAAATATAAATTTTTTTCTTTATCCTTTTTTTTCTATTAATTTTCTCATGATAATTTGCTTGAGTTTTGTTCCAACAATGTTTTTCAAGATAACCATATATTTTATAGTGAGAGTAGAGAGGAACATTTGAATTTTTATTTTTTAACATCAATCTTTTTCAATATGTCTAATTTTTTTTTAACAAAAATATTGATGGGTCTCTTTGTTACTTTTATTATAGTTCTTCTAACTCATCATCTGCCTCAAGTATCATATCGTCCACGACCTCTACTATTTTGATCACTCCCTTGAGATATAGTTTTTAAAATTCTTTTAGTCCTTATGATTTATCTTCATTTAAAGAACATATTTAAAGTTTCATATAGAAATTACATCAAATTTTGGAGATAAACTTCATAAAACTTTTTTTAGTATAGTTTGATATTTTAGGTTTTCACCATAAGATCTCATTTAGTTCACAATAGAAGAAATTTTTTGAGAAAAAACTAATAATAGATTTAAAATCTTTCATTATAAGAGTTTCAAATTTATGTTAAAGAATTTGAAAATTTAAAATTTTTACCTTATCTATGCCTCCAAACATACTTTTTAATATTTTCTAAGCTTTTGATGTCATCATGATTTGAGGAAATAAGGATTTATTTATTATTTATTGTAGCATGTAGAGGGAGGGCTCTTGCATTTTTTTTACATATTCTAATTCATATGATCTTTTTTATCTTTACTAATATTAATTTCATCATACTCAACAAAACCATCTTCTACTAAATTTCATAATCTTTATGAAATAAATAGAAGTTTCATTTTAGTAAGCTAAAATTGATAATCATCATATTTGAAGATAGGAAGAAACTGAATAGGAACACTTACTTTAACATCTATTATCTTTTCTGGATCTACTAGTCTTCCCCTTTTTCATTGTTGATTTTTTTTATATAACTTTAAAAGAAGAGGAAGAGAAGGGTAGAAAAGACTACAAGTATTTTTAACCTACAGTGTTTTGGATTAATCCAAGCGCACCTATTTATATTAGCTAAAAATAGAGTATAAATTTTTTTAAACAAAAAAAATCTATCATATCCCAAAAAATCTTTCATCCTTATCTATTTATTTTAATTTAATTTTATTATTTATCTAATCCTAATTATTTGAATTAATCTTATCAAATCTTTCATCATAGAAACCCTATTCTTGCGTGCTCTTGGCCGAGCCTATTCCTCCTCCTCGGTTCTAATCCAATTCAAGGCGACGACATCGGATGTGGGTCGACAGGGGGAAGGTGGGACTCCTCATGCATGCATGCATGCATGCGACTACGTGGGGCTTCCCTCCTCGTACCCTTTTAGTTCTTCTTGTTGTTCCTATGCCTTCCGAGAGACACTTTTCTATGAACCCTATAAATGAAGGGAGGGGTTGTCACTCCGATATGACTCGATAACCTCATCCCACTACTTTGATTCGAAACCTAAACTATTAGGAAAAGACTCGATCTATCAAACTCGAATGCTAACCGATCAAAGAAAATGGGATTGTATGAATATTGATGGGTGAACGATAATATATGTTAGTAAAAGATTCAATGGTTTCGTATAAGTCAAACTCCCAAAAATATACGCTGACAAAGTCGTTGTTTGATGTGGGATGATCACTCGATGCACTCACCAAAGTCAAAGTATGTTTTCCGCGAGAAAGATTGTGCTTCCCGTCATAAGAATTCTCGAGAACATGTCAAGACTCTGTTCTTCATCGAGGAAGGAAGCATTGGCGTTCCCTATTAGCAAAGATTGAGAGAACAAGTTGGCAAGTAAATTATGTAAGGCAGCCACCTACCATGGCACGTACGATCACAAGAAATCAGATCTGGTTGTGCAATTAATATTGCATGGAATTGAGATTAGTCATATGATGCAAATAAGATTCAAACAAGTTTCTAGTTTTAGAGTGATCCTTCATGAGATAGAAGAATTCACCAAGCATATGTGTTCAATGATCTTTTCCATGAGAAAGATGATGAGGTGAAAATGAAGGGGAAGAAAGAACAACTATAGCACTTACAGTAAGTAGTAATGGCGAGGAATGAATTAACAGTATAATCTATCAAAGGTTTTGCCAGTTAAATTAGTCCGTATCTTCGATCCGAACCCATACAAAAGAGCTGAGATTTGCCACTAAAAAATTGGGAATGTGACAATGACAAACTTTGGTGTATTCCATCTGACAAGGAATAATATGAGCCATTAAACCATTAACTGCAGCAATAAAATACTGAGATCTTTCTTCCCCATGAGGCTTCTCTTTGAGGTGCCTTAAACCACACGGTTCTTAGTCTCTGAGGCATCCTTCGACCCTACTTAAATGGCTCTTCTCTCTGTGTCTCTCGTAAATCACAGTTGTCTTGATCTTGTTTTCTCTCTGTCGAAGGTGCCTTGAACCATGGTTGATGTCATGGAGGAAGGCTGCATGCAGTTACCTCCTGGCTTCAGATTCCACCCCACAGATGAAGAGGTCATCACCCACTACCTCGCACCGAAGGCAACCAACAACAGCTTCAGTGCAAGAGCTATTGGAGATGTGGACTTGAACAAGTGCGAGCCGTGGGATCTCCCAAGTAAGCAAGCCATTCATTGCATGCGTGCCTTCTCCCTCTTGATCTTGTTTCGATCGTGCAGGCAAAGCGAGGATGGGAGAAAGGGAATGGTTCTTCTTCTGCCAGAAGGACAGGAAGTACCAAACTGGGACGAGGACCAACAGGGCCACAGAAGCTGGGTATTGGAAGGCCACGGGAAAGGACAAGGAGATCTATCGAGGGATAGGTGTTCTTGTGGGCATGAAGAAGACGCTCGTGTTCTATAGAGGAAGAGCTCCCAAAGGGCAGAAGACCAGTTGGGTGATGCATGAATACAGGCTTCAAGGCTCCGATGCCCCAAAGTCTGTCGAGGTATATATCGATCTGCATGCTTCTCTCTATCTGAATCAAATCATGTCATGAACCTTCTTCTTCTTCTTCCGTTTCTCCAACGACTCTGAAATCTGTGACTGCAGGATGAATGGGTTGTGTGTAGGGTCTTTCACAAGAACATGGGGAGGAGAAGCCCAACACCACCACCACCACCACCACCTGGAATACAAAGTGTTAAAACCCTCGACCCTCCTCGCATGAACTTCCAAGAGCATCCTCCCATCATCTCCGCCATGATGGGAACGGAGAACCAGCAGGCCGTGGACCATCGAACGAGCTCAAACCCACCTCACAACTCTTACTGCTTGCTCCCGGAGTCCGCGAACTCCGGCTACTTGCACCACCAGGACGCGGCGCAGAGAGCTTCGGCATCATCTGCCATCATGAGGCATTGCAAGATGGACGGGTGCTGGGACACAGACCTCCACGTCTCCTGGGCGATGTCGAAGCACTACGGTGACCTCCACGACCCTTCCTCGTCTGCAGCGGTCACAGATTTGGATAGCATTCGGTGGTTCTGAAGGGCAACAGATTTCATGTCGATTTGGTGTGGTGTAGTTCCAAGGCCACTCATATTCTACTGATCGTAGAGAAAGCCTTGGTGATTTAGGTAATGTTCTTGCTGCATGCAAGTCGCTGATGGCGTAGCATATGTCATCGTACACAGATGACACAGAAATGGAAGAAGCTGTGTGAAGCTCTGTTGTTGTTCGATCGTCAGTTTGACACGCCAAAGTTGATTCGGCCTTAATCTTGTCATGTTTGAGACCCGAATGCGTCGGGTGAAACCCCAAAGTCGAATCCCGACGCGAGAGGTTGACCTGAAAATGGGCTGAGGAATCCTGAGTTGAGCTCCTCGAGCGACCTGATTGGCTTTCTTCTGTCATTCATCCGCATATCCTCCTAAAATACTCAATCAATATCATTCGATGATACGCCTTCTCCTCACCATCTTTATCGATGAGGTACGACATCACATCAGTTAGGTCTAAGGACAAGTAGGATCTCTTTCTTGAGTTACCAATCCTTCTTCCCCTCTAATTATTCTTCTTTCTGCATCGATCATCATACTTTAATGACTCAATCATTCATTCAGCTTCTTCCATCCTCTCCTTTCTGCACATGGCCATGGCTTATGCGCGCGTCTCTGTTTGCTGCCACTTGCACAGAGGATTCTCGGGTCCCACCTCAGGCCACCGATCAGCATTTGGCCTGAGCTTCCAGTCTACTGTACCACCAAATGCCCCAAAAGAAAGATCCTATCCATGCATGACAGGAAGAGAAAGCCTCATCACCTTCTTTATTCCCACAGCTATGAGTCATATGTTCCTCGTCATTGCTCCTTAGGTTCCTTCTACCACCCAAATCTGGACCTCTTGGTTGCGTGTTACCTCCCAATCTCGATACATGTGGAAACCTCCTTCGGAATCGAGTAGAACAGATGAAGCAGAAAACATGATAAGATAATTTTTCTATTCTGTACTCCGACTTAGTGGTCTTTGGATGGATAGGACGAGAGCGAGGATAGCTTAAACTATATGAAGCTTTCCTTTGTTGACATCACTACGGAGTTAAATCCAAGACGATAAGGTTTGGCGATGGGAGGTGTCTAAACCTACCTCTCGTCTGACGAGACTGTGAATCCATGTTGCATGAGGACATCACTTGGTCTCTGGTCTTCGTCTTGTGCTGGTGTTGGCTAAAGGTTAGACATGGCCCTCAAAGCAACTGATGGTGAACAGCTGATGTTGGTGATGTATTTTATCGGCCGATCACCATCACAGGTGATCAACATATATCTCAACAGCTCATGGTGTGGTTCGAAGGGCAATCCCAAGTCAAGATTGTCTGCTTAGTTATAAGTTTGAGAATATATTTATATTTTTAGTGTGTAATTGAACAAGGAGAGTTAGTTATGGAATACTTAAATGCTTGATAAATAATAAATAGATATTATTTATAAAATTATATTTCAAAAATTCATCAAATATTTTGTGATGAATTTATTTTTCTAATATTTTAATATTTATCCAAAAGTGAATACATATTTTTTTTATTTGTATTAAGTAGTAAATAAATAAAAAAATTGGTAAGGCCCAAATATATAATAAATAAATAAATATAAAAATAATTGTTAGAAATAAAAAAATAAAATCTTAAAAATGATGCTAATGTTAAATTAAGATAGCATCAACATTTAAGTATTTTTTTTAATATAATATTTTAATTAGATATGATTTAAAATAAAATTATCAAACATTAATTCATATTTAAAATATATTATATCTTCAAGCACATCTCAGTCTATCAAGGTTGGCTTCTGAAAGCAATTGTTCAAAGGCAATAATTGGTGGAGGAAGATGCACCTCTTATTGGGTGAAGAACTTATATGGTTTGAGTGTCTTATTAGATTTCCAACTGACTTCTCTGATTGCATTGTGTCATATCCTTATTTATCACAAGGATATGACTTCACAGTTAAGATCTTATTGATTGTGTCAACACATAATTAAGAAACAAGTGGAATGACCCCAAGGTTTAGCCCAGGAAAACTACATCTTGAAGAAGAGAGCAGGTTGAACAAGCATGATTGTGGTGACTTCCACAAAACTGACAAAACACTGTTATTGTCTTTAGTGGTGCAATTCAGCAGATATGGTAGCAAATTAAAACAAAAAAAGAAGAAGAAAAAACTCATGAATAAAACATGACTAACAAGACATAAAATTGGAGTGCAGAATCAGGGATTCATCTAAAGTTCCAGGCCATTGCTGAGGTGGTCTGTCAAGAGATCTCAATCTTCAAATGAATTGACTAATGGTCATATCAAACTAAATCATCTGCATCAGTCTAAAACCTTACAGGTTCTTATAGTGTATTGGTGGATCAAGATCTGTTTAGATATGCCGGTGTGAGGGCTACCCCAGTCTTGTCAAGAAAACAGAAGCATCACTAGTAGATAAATCTCTGTTTAAACATGGACTTGCCATGGACATGTTAAATATTAGGAATGAGTAGTGTGAGGACCACACTAGCTATAAGATGTGTCAGGCAGCCATGATTCCACAGCAGATAAATAATTTGCAATGAATAGATTTATGTAACACATGATGGAGTTCTGTCACCTTGTTGGAGAAGTTGGAAGCTGCCCTGTTCTCTGGCTTCTGACTGCTCCATTCCACCTGATGGTGAAAGGTTGTGACATTAAGGAAATTTAGCCGCCATCCTAATGTGATGGGTTCGTTGCATTCTCTCGGAGTAGTCCTCTCGGAACTGAGGAGGGCATAGAGTTGCCTTTCTGACCTCGTGCAAGTCCCTGTCCATGAGAGTTCAGAGAGAACAGTTGATAGCTATAGTCATCAGACTGGAACCTCAAAGTTATCATACATGGATTGTTTTGGATGCTTTAGTTTTCACCTGTAGATCAAAGGAAGAATTGCCACGGCTACGTTGTCATTGCTTGCATCTGAAGAGATAAGCTAACAAAAGAGAGAATTGAAAAGTCGAGCCATATCATAACATACCATCCGATATGAATAATATGCATCAATCCGATAAGAAATTAGTATAGATGGTACATACCGATCAATCATCATATCATGTATCATAACGATGACCGATTGATATACCGATACGGACCGGTAAGACGAATCATGGTCACCGCTATTTAGCACGACTGATCTAACTATTCTTTGTTAGCATGATTGATGAGGCAATAATGATCTAACAAAGGCATCAGTTTAACCCAAGCAAAAGGATTATCATGTCTTTCATTGGAACACAGTGGCTGAGATTAGAATGCAAGGCAAGATCAGTTAAAACCAGAGATCGGATGCAAAGCAGCATGAATTAAACAGAAAGCTTAATTATTGATTCAAGACATGCAACCAGCAGTTTTGCAACCGGATGCACAAGCTACAATAATCATGTCCATATTATTCTTCACCCAAAGAAAGCTTCGAGACAACATCAACCCATCCACCATGGAATGTCAAACAAAGATTATTGTTCACCACAAACGAATACGAAAAGAGCATCATCTACAAAAGGCGCAAGGTCTAAATTCACAAGGCAGTTGAATTGAGACACAAGAACATGGTGTGAAGAAGACCACACCGTTCTGATTATTACCTACATTTGTGCAGGCTCCAGTGTCCGAACATCTGCACCGGTTGTTACATCACGCCTGTCCTTGGTTATCGCTACAAAATGGCCAATCATTTCATGGAACTGCTTCAGACTAGACAGGGGGAGGATGATTGATGAGCGATCAACTCCAGCAACCTGCATATGGAAGCATTTAAGGATCGACTATGGAACTGATTCAGTTTGAGCTCTTCATGTACCTCAGATATCCTCAAGAAGTGTCCCCTGTTGTTGCTTCCCAAATCAAAGAAGAACCTCTTCTGATCTACCCTAATTAATTTAGACATCCCCATGCCTCCAATCTCATTGTGCGTGTGCACATCAACCAATCGATCAGCATTCAACTCTGAGCCAGAGGATGATTGGGCACTGTGGCCTGATATGAATCCAGCACCGACATCATCTGAAAGTCCAGGGAGATGTTCTGGAGCTTCCAGATGTTGCTGTTCTTGTGTTGCAAAAGAACAGGGACGAAAGTTACTGACATGCTCAAGGATATCAGCCACCATAGCTCAGTATGCCAATTTATCAATTTTTTTACCTGATTTGGTACCATGAATAGCCGTGAAGCCTCTTCATGTATCTCTTGTAAAACATTTCTAAATGCTACCCATCCTTCTTCACCAGAAATTCCTGCAGGAACAATGATTGTACTCCGGTTTCTGTTAACAGATGCCTCTGATATCTACATAAGAAAGTTTCATCAGCTCCATACACCATTACGCAAAACGCTTAAGCTCATGATACATACTTATAATATGGTTTATGATTTTGGCAGATAAACCTTGAGAAGTACAAAGATAGCAGATTAATATATGTTTACATAAGAAATGGTCCGGTCTAACTAGTGCTAACAAAATTGCTAGGCGCTACAAGGCACCAAGGTCGCTTATTGCTCGAAACACTAGGTGCCAGTCTAGGCACTAGCTCGAGAATAGCAAAGCACTTACCTTAACATGCTTTTGCACTTAGCATCAGAATCTTGATTGTTGTCCAATGTGCATCCTTATTTCTCCAACCATGGATGCCCTTGCTGTGCGATCCCAAGTCAAATTATCCATCAAGAACCAAATTACGTTTTGCATTTGACATGTTAGCACCCATCCCTCCAACCATCTTCCACAACGGCAAGGGTGCTGGGAGAAAAGAGGAAAGAGAGAAGAAAAGGAAGGGAGACCATGCATCATCAGAGAGGGGTAAAAGAAGAGACAGAAAGAGGGAAGGATGAGATGTACTCACAAGAGACAAGGGTCGAGAAGACAATCGCATAAAGATAGAGGGTTGTGCACAAGTGTCATCAGGTGTGGAAAATAAAATTAATTATTTGGTCGAACTCACATCGATAATGATCAATAGACAATAGAACTGGGTCAGTTATTGAGTCAGATTCAGAGAGATTTGGATCCGCAGGCCAGGCAGAGCTCAATCAGGCTCACATGCATTTATGATTTATGACACCTAGACCTCCTACAACTTTAAGTGCTATCACGGTGTTTTGAGTATAGATATGGTATCTAGTTTAACAAACAGTGCATCTGCTAAACAGACAAATATGTCAACAAAGTAGATACATTTATTGGACATATGTATAGCTTAGAATAGTGAATTTAATATATGAGAAAATCATATTTTAGTTGGGAATATTTAGCAAAAAAAAAGCTGGTGTAAAGATTGGCCTCTAGATAGATACCATGTGAGATATGAATATGCACATAAATACCATTCAAAGGTTTGTATTTGTGTACATAGGCTCTAAAATAGCAAGAATTCTGAGTTTATATTTCTCAAAAAGTTTGCATTTGCATGTATACCATCAAATAGTGGGTATTTATGTATATACCCCCTTGGAACAAATTTGTCTCTAATTGACTCCTTGACAATCTTTAACAAGTAATCACAATCATCTTCTGTCTTGACAGGAAATTATACAACCTTGACATATTTTTTATTATTGAAACAAGTCCAAGTCATTTATGAAGCCTAATATGCAACCTATTAAAAACCACAAATGCAAAGAGGAGGGGCAATGGGAGAAAAATTGCTGAGAGAAAAAAAATGTAATGTTGAGATTAAAGTGAAACATGGTAGTGTCTAGATTCCAAAGTTTTAAACACCTATTAAACTAGTAAGTATTAATTAGAATTTACTGGTCGACTAAATGCCGGTATCAGAACATATAGATCAGTACTGATACATATACTCATACTTGGAAATGCTATAACTGATGCTTTGTCATTAGACAATGGAAAAAGTTTCTGTTGCTAAAAAATCTAACAAAGAAACTATTAAATAAATAAGGTCAAAAAGGGAAGTGTGATGACTCAGGATGAGTCCTAAATCAGAACTGGATGGTGATTTGGGTATATATATCAGGTTAGATGGGCTTAGTACCAATAATTTCAGCCCAAAAACTTCAGGCCATATGGTTAAAGGTCCACAAAATGACTTGAAAGTCTTATAACTTTTACTGGCTTGAGCGAAATAAACAGGAAAGCCCTATAAGACTTGTATTGGTTAAATCACCACAAAATGACTTGAAAGAAATAAACAGAAGTTACAAATTAGATCAAATAACCGGTGAACAACTAAAAGTCAAAAGATAATATCTTTAGACCACCAAGTTTTTTATTATTGCAAAACTAGCTGGCAGCAGCTGCATCCATTTATGCTCAAACCTTGATCCAGCATCTATTTAACTGCAAGAACCAAAGGCATCTTGCTCTATACTGCATCATGCCTACTAAAAGGGAGATAAAGTGACATCATGATTGTTAGAGGTGGAACTGCTAAACATGAGTTCTCTTATGACAAGGTCGGTGTGAGCCTAACATGCCCACAATCTTCTAATATGCAAAAGTGTTACACACAACCACAAGAGACCTTTAAATATCATCATATATTCTGCATATAATGGATTTTCATTTCATTTTTGCACCATTGTTCCAGTTTATTGCCTTTGGTTCTTTTATACTTCACAATAAATGCTAATATAGTGACTCGGTTCACCATTTGAACTTCTCTCTCTTCAGTGTACAAGCAAAAGCTCAGAAACTTTTTTGTTTGCTTTAAAAGAAAAGAACACTGCAATATATACTATATCATCCAGAAAGTAACATGCTCTTGGTTTTATTTACCAGTAATGTGTTAGAATCAGCATATGTTGTAATATTCAACGTTGTCACTACTAATGTCCTCTTAGTTTCTCTGTTGGCATCATGATCGAGGTACTTGGTTATAATCACCATAAACCATATGATATTGTCATAGATGTGAGCAATCTTCCAAGCCCAAAACGAACATCTTCATGTCATAGTACTACATTCTTCAATCATATTTTTTTTAAAGTGGATAACCCAAGTAAGAGAAACTTTAGAAATGGTAGCAAAGCTATGCACCTGCAGAAACATGGGACCACAATTACTCTCATCACTGACTGGATAATCATTGAACAGCAGTTTGAAATCTACTCATGATGGAACCCTCCTATATAACAGCAAACATTATGTTGCTCCAAAATCTAACATCAAATCATACTTATTTTGTTGTTGTTAACCACACGCACACACAGATTCAAAGAATCAAGCAATGCATAAACCAAACTGACATTATGACTCTTGTGTGTTTCCTCACATGTTCGACAAATTTTGAACTTGGGTTTGGCGCCTAGTCTAAATCCGTCATCACTCCAGATTCAAAAGTTATGTGAAACTCCAACAGCTAACCCACTATCAACAATAAAATTAACAACAGGCCTCTAATAAGAGAAGCTAAGGTAACCATTACAAGACCAACATACGAAATAATTTCAAACCCCAGTAGTCATAAAAGATACACAAGTCAAACAGAAGCAATCAACTATCCAGAATCCATTCAACCACACCAAAAAATTGATTTCGTAATAATGACGTGTACCTTCAAAAAACGCCCCCTTTTGTTCTCACCAACATCAAAGTAAAACGCCTTTCCAGGAAAACAAAACCAAAAACATCAGTAAAAGGATTCAACGATCCGACCTTTATAAAACCCAAGAAAAGGCCATTCGGGCAACCAACCTTGGAATCAAGCTTGAGCTCCTTGCTGAAGACGTCCTGCTCGTCCGTGCTGATGTAGTAGCCAAACAATTCGAGGAACCAGACGATGCCATCGACGGGGACGATGATGGTGGACCTTGTGGCCGAAGTCTTCTCGGAGATCTTGAGGTACCTCCCCCTGGGATTCTCCTTCAGATCGAAATAGAACAGCTTGTGCTCGAACTGCAGCGTCTTGGAGACCAACTCCACGTCCGTCCCACCGGTCGCTCCCCCCTCCATCGGTCGGCGCCTCGCGGACCCCAATTTCCGGCAATAACAATCTATAGATCAAGAATTCAGGTCTCGGGATGGAGGAAGAACCAATTCTTCGAATGAATGAAGATCGAGAGGGAGCGATCAAAAATTGCTGGAAGAGGTTGAGGTTAGGGTTTGGAGCGGGGAGAGATTAACCTCGCCCCCGCTTACGAACGAGTCGGCGGTGGAGATTCCACTTCACTCTCCTCCTTGTTGACCGAGTGTTTACTCGCCCGCCTCCGCTCAACTGTGTTTAATTAAGTAAATCCGGAAATTAAGGTATCGGATCCGGATCTTGATACGTTAGTGGTTCCAAAGGATCAGGGCAATCACCACAGGATCAATCGCGTAGCACGAGCGATAACGTTCGCCACCCCCCGCTCCAGGTGTTCGTCGTAATGCCCAATCGACCAGGGTGGGCGCTCCAGGTGCTCGCCGTAATGCCCAAGCGACTGGGGTGGGCCGAGGGGCAGGTCCTCCGCGCGGCGCTCTGCACGCCGAACATGGAGTTTGTAAGATCGGATTGATCACTGTTCAAAATTAAGTTGGCAACATTTTATTTATTATTAAAAATAAAAATACTCTTCAATAAAAAGTGAAAAAATGATTTTTTAGGTAAATCATTCACAAATAAACATAAGATTATATGGCGATTTTTCTAGAAAATATCCATAATTTAAGTATTTTTCCCACAAGTTTTCTTGCCCATTTATTTACTTACAAGCGTAGGCACCTTCTCCACGTCGTGTCGGTCACGTGACGTTGATGTATCTCGACCGTGGCACAACCTTCCTATTATGCGCCTCTGCCTCCCTCTCTCTCTCTCTCTCTCTCTCTCTCTCTGTGTTCGGCGCGGCGTTCCGAGGAAAAGGTGCAGCGGAGGAGACCCCCGTCGACTCCATCCTCCGCGGCGATCTCGAGGTAGTCGAGCATCCCCGCACTCCTCTTCTCGTCCTCCCCGACCTCAAATGAGCGCTTGATCTGTTGCTTTCCCCCGCATCTAACATGGCCTTCTTAGATCTTTGATCCGATATCTCTCTTCCCTCTTTTCTCCTGCACTCGTCTTGTAGATCCCTTGATTTGCATTTGGATCTAAACCCCATTAATGCTCTCTTTCATGATCCGAGGATAGATCTTGAGGTTTCCTACGTTCCTATTTGTTCTTAATCCCTAATTCGACGCCGGTAGTTGTGGATCTCATAGATCTTATGTTCGTCAACAAAAAAACTTGTTTCCAGTGCACTAAATTTTGGTTAGTCTGAACGTTGTGGTTGTAACAGATCAGGTACAATGGGGCTCACGTTCACTAAGCTGTTCAGTCGCCTCTTCGCGAAGAAGGAAATGAGGATCTTGATGGTGGGTCTTGACGCCGCTGGTAAGACGACCATCCTCTACAAGCTCAAGCTCGGAGAGATCGTCACCACGATTCCCACTATTGGTGAGAGTTATTTGTCTCCCTATTATTTGCCTTTATTGGGACCTAGGCAGTATTATTTGACTCGTTGGTGTATTAATCATGATTTTTGGAAATTGTGACTGTTAAATCTGCCCTTATTCCTGTTGTTATATATATTTTCCCATTAATTGAGTTTCAGCATTTCTAAGCCTTGACGGATTAGATCTAGTTCTTTTGTTCACATATATATATATATATATATATATATATATATATATATATATATATATATATATATATATATATA